AACTTTGATTTTGTTAGGGTAATTGATGATTTTATTGGAATTTGGGATCCAAATGAAGTGTTCTGTGTGCATTAGGTACATCGCGTGCTTGTGGATCTTGTTTCTGCTTCTGCAAATGCAGCGCCTGGTCTTGGAAGGTATCCTCCATTCAAGAGAGAGGTAACAATGTTGTGTTGTATTTCTAATTTCTAATTTGTCTCCTTCTCCACAACAGTATGAAAACAAATTTTAATTGGCAGATAATTTGAAGGTATTCATTCGTGATTCACTCTAAGGAACTCTTTGAATGTTTCTTGGAATTTGAACAATGATGTTGAGTGCTGTTAGCACTGATATGATTACGAAAATTTCTATGTATGACGGTATAACCATTTTTGTGGCTTGTGCATAAATATATCAGTTTAATCACCAAATTATAAACAGGGTACCCCCTAGTCCTCTACTTTGATTCTGAACTTTTGTTTGGCTGCCTGCAAGCATTTGGGAATCTGGATCTCTGACAACCTGGGTTTAGCCCTTCCAATTTTATTTATTTTCATTCTTTAGTTGTGCTTTGATCAGTTTATTTGTCTCTTTTAGTACGAAAATGATCTTTATGGTATATACTGTCTAGGATTATTAAGTAGTATTATTTTCCTCTTTTATGGTATATCTATTGTGTCATCTTTATTGATGATATAGAACTCAGCACCAGTTGTGATATTTTACTGACTTATGGACTTGTGTTGCTTGATCTCTTTTACTGTTGCTATTGCTGAAGAGCTTCAACATTTGAGAAACAGTCTACCTGATCAAGTTGTTGTTCAACGTATAGAAGAAAGATTATCTGCTCTGAGAAATTGTATAGCATGTAATGACCATGTGGCTCTCACACACACTGATCTTGACAGGGTATTGACTTATTATATATAGCATTTTCTTTCATTGGTCAAAATATTTATAAATATTAATTGTGTATCAAATATTTATACTATATTACAGAAACAAATTAATGTGATATCTTTACCACAATAAAATTTTTTCCATCTAAAAGATATTATATTCTCAACTCCCATGAAAAAATAAATTTGAGAAAAAATTATATAAAAAACATTTTGTAGAAAATCATGTTTTCTAAGAATTTTCTACAAACTGATATGTTAAACTTTCTTTGATTTGTCTTATTAGAAGAATTGAAATTTTGATTGTGGAAGAAGAGGGAAAAAAATTATGGTTATACTCTGTCAATTGTATTATATAGAATTTTAGATTATTTTAGAAATGTATATATATAATAAGTAGAGTCAGAATACAGTTTAAGGAAAAATACAAATTCAAATAGTTCTTAATGGGAAGGAATTATTATTATTTGAATGCAAATTATTCCGGTTACTATTCGGATAGGCCCCTATTTATAACTAGCCTAATTGTTCTTGTTTCTTCTGATATGCATATCCTTATCAGTTTCTTAAGGGCGCTGGTGGCATAGTGAGAAGCAGGTTTTAGGGTCATGTCATGATATCTAAAGGTGTAACTGTTTAAGGTCATATGAACTTAGATTATCACATGAGAATTTCGTTTTCAGGAGGTTTAAAGTCCTCTGTCCTATACAATGTCTATGCCTGTATTTGGTTTTATACTTCAAGTCTATCGATGTTTAGGTCTTTTTCCTTAATAGTTTAGGATTACAGCCTATGTAGCTTTCAGGGATTTCATTAATAAATTTGTCACTATCTTCCCCCCACGTCCCTGCTTTCCCTTGACTTATGTTCAACTTGAATTTGTTAGAAATTGTGAAATAGGATTCTTTTTTGTCATGGCGGGCCTTTTTATAATACTTTGATCTTCTAGGAAATTATTTTATAAGAGCATGATGTGTGCAGGTTTCCCGCTGTAATAATATTCCAGATCTTTTTATTACTACAAGTAGTTCTTGCTATTTTGAAGTTTAGTCACCATGTATGAGCTTGCCCATCCTACATTTTTATTCTCCTCCTATTCTTTATGTCAATAATCAAATTTGCTTATACAGACGTTAGAATAATTTAATGATAATGGTGTGTGTGGGGTGAGAGTGTTAGGAGATGCAAGTTGAAATAGTTGGTATGAGGTTGTCGAGAATCTTATCAGAAATATTATTTGCAAGCTTGCATATAACAACACCATATTAACAAGGTCCGGAGCTCATGCTCCTTATCTTTTAGATGTTAAAATTTAAAAAGCAATTTGGATAATTATGTTGGCGATATCCTTATCCTAATTGTATTTTGAACAACTGCTGTCTCATGATGCAGGTTCGCTTACACCTTCTTACTACAGTTATGAAGTGTTTTTTTAAGCGACCACCTGAAACTCAAAAAGCATTAGGAGTTGTTTTGGCTGCTGGTCTTGCTGATTTTCACCAGGTTTGAATACTTTTCTTATGACTGAACTTTTCTATTCTCATTTTGAGTGAATACTTTTGACAGGGAAGTAACTATTCTGAAAGAGTGATGTTGATTTACGATAGTCTCCACTATGATGCATTAGTGGTGAGTTGTTTTATATACTATAAATTATTAATCTTCAATTCCTTCTTTTTCATGCATTGTTTTAATAATATTTTTTATTTTAAAAAAATAATATTTAACTATAAGGGAATAAAAAAATTATTTAACTATAAATTATTATGTTATGTGGTTTGACAGAAAATGTAAGAGAACTTAAAAAAAATGCAATTTTGTGGCGGTTTAACACTGTCAGAAAAGCTAAATCAAGAAAAATTTAGGTGAATTTTGTAGCGGTTTTAAACTGCCACAAAATGTCAAACAAGTCAAACAAAAATGCATTTTGTGGTGATTTCAAATCGCCACAAAGAGATTGAATTTTCTGGCGCTCAGAACCAGCGTTTACAAAATATTCGCCGGAAACGATTTTTGGCGACCGTAGATCCGGCGGGTATGGATGACGCCGGTAATGAAATTTGTGGCGGGTTTTAACCGCCAGAAAACACTAAAATAACCGCCACAAATCACACATTTTTTTGTAGTGACTAGGGATTACACAACAAAAGAGAGAGTTTTGAGCGATCCGTGATTATAAAAGTAATCTCAAAAGAACTCACTCTAATGTCTCTAGAATTATGTTAAGAAAAATATTGAATGGTTGGATACGCTTGCTCAAACCATCCATATAGCTTGCTCTAAGCGAGCATGTGCGTGCTTCTAAGGGTGTTCTTTGACTTCACTAGTTTAGAGTACTCTTATGGTAACTCTGAACGAATTTTGCTTGCTCAAAGAGCCCAAGTAGCTCACTTTGAACAACCATGTGTATGCTTCTAGGAGTGGTCTTTGACTTCACTTGCTCATAGTGCTCTTATGATAGTTTTGAACGAATTTTGCTTAAGTGCAATTGGTGTTCTCCAATCAAAGTTGGAGTTTTATCTCGATATTATATGCAAATGCATTTACTGTAGGTCTCATTAATATACATTTATGCTTACTATCGAGGTAAAACCTCAACTCTGATCGAAGAACAACTCCAACAACATCTAAGGAACCATACCTAAGTTTTGTCCTATTAGAGATTATATAGTTAATTCAGTTTTCCTTCAATATATTTGAACCTTAATTTCCTAGGTGAGAAACTTTAAGTTGTTTAATAAAAATTTCAATTCCTTGGTAACTTTTATTAAGAAACATGCATTAATATCAAAGACCTAAAAATTGAATAATAAGGCTTACCCCTATTCCTAAGAAATAAGTGTTATCAATGTTTTACCTTGATCATAATTCTAAAAGGGTTTCCCAACATTTTAAAATTGGCCAAAGCAAGCATTAAATATAAAGGAAAATGATTAATTGAACAAAAATAATGTGTTAAGTGAGAATAGGAAATTACATTAGTATAACAACTATATCAATCTCCAATAGCAGAGAAATTAGTCACTCGTAATTAAAGATTACACAATAGAAGAGAGGTATTTGAGCAATTTGTGATTTCAAGAGTAGCTCACAAAAATTCTCTCTAATCTGTTTAGAATTATGTTAAGAAAAATATTGAATGACTGGAATGGGATATAGAGGTTTCCTAAAGACGCTATTTTTATAGCAATTTTGATGAGTTTTTAAATTTGATACGCTCGCTTAGAGTACCCATATAGCTCACTCTGAGCAAGCATGTGTGTGATTTTACGGGTGTTCTCTAATTTCACTTACTTAAAGAATTCTTGTGATAGTTTTGAGTGAATTTTGCTCATTCTGAGCACCTAAGTATCTTCTATGCGAGTATGTGTGTTTCTAGGAGTGCTTGTTGACTTCACTCACTTAGAGTATTCTTGTGATAACTTTGAGCGAATTTTGCTATCTCCAACCCAAGTAGCTCGCTTTGAGCGAGAATATGTATGCTTCTAGGGGTGCTTTTTGACTTCACTCACTTAAAGTGTTCTTATGGTAGTTTTAAGCAAATTTTTTTCACTTAGAGCATTCTAGTAGGTTGTTGTAAGCAAGTTGGTATAGTCTTTCCAGTTACTCTTTGATTTGGCTCGCTTAGAGCGGGTTGTTAATCGATTTGAGTGAATTTCACTAACGTGGAATAAGTCTTCTATGTAGTTTGGAACAATAGTTTCCCTTTGAGACTTATAGTTTCTAAATTATTTTCTCCATGTGTTATCAACAAAAAAATATTAAATATTATTTAAATAATTAAACCCTAAAATGAAATTAACGGTACGCGGTTCCTTAATGTCCACCACATGCAGTATATATGTGAAAAGGGTACTAGTATTTGGTGTGGGTGTGGGGTTCTGGAAATAAATTCAAGTCCGTACTATAGTTAAACCATTCATGCTTCCTTCCTATGAGTCTTGGGAGGGAAACTTTGGAGCCTCCCTCCAATAATTCATCCCTTCTCACGTTCCCAACGTGCTCTATGTACACCATTATTATTTCGAGAAGAAAGAGAACACAAACAATAGAATGATGAAGTGAGTATCATAACAAAAGAAAAGAAGAGAAACAGATCGATGAATATAAAACATAATGTTGAAAAAAATAACATTGACATAAAACTTCATAAGACATAAATCATAGAATGAGAAATTAAGGAGTACATTGGAACAACTTGAAAAGAAAAAAAAAGGAGTACAGTACATTACAACTTAAATCTTATGAAGAGGGAAATTACATTAAAGGCCAAGGGAGTAAGGAAAGCCAGTAGAAGGCAACCAGTTAGAACCAGAAATGAAATTGCCAGGGGTGAAACTTTGTGCCTCGGAAGCACTAGTGATTACCTTGAAGCCTTTCCAATTAACCCTCTTGGAGGTGGAAGCTCCAGCGCCAGTGTTCTTATATTCTCCATAATACAAGGGGTCCAAAGGAGAATCGGCATCCCACTCTAACCAGCCAGCAGGGTCAATGATATCACTTATACTGGTTTGCATGATGACAGTTCGGGAATGGTCCTGCCAAGGCCTGCCGAGAAACGATTGGAAGGTGTTTTTGACAGCATACAAGTCAGTGGTGGCGTTAATCCTACTTTTTTGGATGACAATGCCAGTGTTTTGGTTAGCGTCAGTGCGGCCTTGTGCGGTGATGGTGTTCTTTTGTTTTGGATTGGGACGCCTGGCGTTGATGTCGCAGTCTTGTAAGACAGCAGCTGAGTTGCCAAAGATGAAGTCCACTGTGCCTGCGACGTAGCATTTGACGAAGAACTGGCGATTGCTGTGGACGTAGAGAGTGTCTTGGTACGCTATGAAGCCACACAAGTAGAAGGCTGAGAGGTCTGCTCCAACTCTTAGGGCCACTGCTTGCTCTTTTGACGGCCCTGCTGCATTCTGGAACGTTATGCCTCGCGCCAAGAACCCGTCACCCACTACCGCCACTGTCGCAGAGTGGAAGGTCGTGCCTCCATCGACTACATTTTTACTTGCAGTGATGATGGTTTTGCTACTTCCATCTCCCAACAACATGATGTTAGTCTTCGAGCTTGGCACATCCACAGTCTCTCTGTACACTCCTGCTTTGATCCTAATCACGTATCTGCTGCTACTCTTCGAAGGAGCCGCAGCCACCGCAGCCGATACTGTCTTGTAGTTCCCGCTGCCGTCCGCCGCCACCACCACGTTGGGAGTCACCGAATCAGACTGCAGAAGCCGCTTGTCCTCGGCGGAGATCCACTCCGGCCACTCCTCCTTCTCCACCATCTTCCTCTCCTTCATGCTCATGCTCTTCTCGTGAATGGCTATGTCAGTGTCAGTCAGGTTCTTTGCCATAGCCAACGCATTGCTGCACAAGTACTGCGCGTATAATTGGGCTTTCAGCAGATATAGTTTCCTGAAGCGCTTCTCAGCTAACTTGTGAGAGAAGCCGTCCAAGCAAGTAACGTGGTTGGTTACGGCGGAGCTGATGAATGTTTTGATGTCATCAGCATGCTTATAGAGAGACTTGGTCTGGGATGGGTAATCTTGGAGGTCCTTCTTCGCTTTGGTAATGTCGTCCAGTGTTTCGCCAATGGTCTCCAAGCAATCGTTCAGGGCGGTTTTCACTCTCTTGCTCAGACTCTTTCGTGTTAAGAGCTTCTCCACCAGCAAGTAGTTGCGATGGACGAATCTGTACCCAATATCCAGTGCCACGTTTATGACATCTTTGTGGGAGAAAAGCTTGTTGGTCACGTTCTCATGTTCGGAGGTTATGGATGAAAAGCAGAGCTCCGGGTACAATGTGCTGCTGCAAGCGCTTTTGATGATGCCATGGGACGGAGGAGATGGTTCATCCTTGTTGTGGGACCTTGCTCCCGCCACAATGCAAATCACTGCCCCCGCAAGAACCAAGGTAGCCAAGAGACTCAACAAGACCTTCTTCTTCAACAAGTACTCATTTGTTTTGGAAATGCCTTCTTTCATGTCTCTCATGCTAATAATCCAATGAATTCAAGAGCTACAGAACCAACTCATTTTATAGCCACACTTTATAATAATCAGACACCTATTGTGCTATGCAATATCCAATTTGTAAAATAAGAAGGACAACATTAAATGGGGAGGAAAAGAAATATAAAATAAAATAATGATATAACATATATAGAGAAAAAAAAAATTAAACATGATGTTCTCAGCATTACGTTTTTTCAAGACAAAATTATGATCGCTAAAGGGAACGCCAATATTTGTAGAGATTTAACTACTATTTTCGTTCTCTATTATAAAATTAGTTTAAAAATTACTATTTAAATCACTTTTAAAATTAAAAGTAGTACACTTTTAAATTAAAAAATATCAAAATAGCAAAAAAAATTTTAAAGAATTAAAACTAAATATGAAAATTTTTTAGTGGAAGAAAAACATATTTTACCGTTATATATATATAGAGAGAGAGAGAAATGATTTTGATATTAAACTGAACAAACGTCGTAAAATAGGAGCCTCTCATGGATCTGAAATTGACATTTATCCCAACTCCGGCTAAAACCTTTGTTCTTTGCTAGCGTTGGTGTTGTTGCTTTGTTCCATGCTTTTATCGTGGATTTTGGTTTGTTGCAGTTTGCCTAAAAGACAAAGAAGATAATGAAATTAAAAAGCAATTGGTCTATTCATGAATATATAGAGAATATAAATACACTCTAGACAAGTTTCAATACGATGAAGGATTATATCATTTCAAACTTCACGTAAGATTACTTACATGTTGAAAGATCTTAAATAAAATGCACATAAATTCATTTCTTATCTTTATATATAGAACAAAACTGTATACAAAATTTTAATATTATAATCATTCTAATTAAAAATAAAAAAGAAAACAAATATGTAAAAGATATTAAAATAAATTGATAAAAATTTATAAATAAAAATAATATCATAAAAATTATAAACTCTTTAAATGATTCCTTGAATTTTTACCCACTCTATTTATTTAAATTTTAAATTATTTTTTGACACACAACGGTGTGGTATATATAACTTTAGAAAAAAGAGTTCGAAGAAGGAGAAGAGAAAAAATAAAAATAAAAATGAATTGTGTAATAAAAAAATGGGAAAAAAATATAAACTGTATAAAAAGTAAGATTGTACGTAACAAATTAAATAAAATTTGTTCAAAACACGACAAATGCAGCATCACCATTTTTCTGTTCATTCAAATAAAATACACAAGTTGCTAACTTTCAAAGTTTGATTTATTTAAACGTCTTTTTTTTTTCCCACGCGTACGTGCAAATTAACAATGGCTTTAGTACTACAACGGAATGAATATGTGGGCAATGCTTTGAGTTTGAGATTGTGACTTCTGAATTATCTTTACAGGTGTACAATCAACTGTCGGCAGGTAATTTAAAAACGTGTGTTTTTAGATTTTGCTGATCATGAGACACGGGTTTACATAAAATTTGCTCAAGTCTATACACTTTCCTGGGGTTTTAGAAATTATGATCGTTAAATTGGAAGTGGAACAAAATCCACATGTAAGCTTCTAATCCTAGGTTGTCACGGGATAAATGGATATGTAATCCGTAATTTTATTGAAAGTTTTCATGAAATAATTGTTACACCCGTAGTATTAGAATTTCGAAAAAACACAGTCATGAAAATCAATAGTTGGTAGAATTTTTGTATATGCCATTATCCACAAAAGAAAAGAGTTTGATTAACGTTATTGTATAATTAATATGGATTATGATAAGCTTATAACTAACCGTACGTGAAATGTATTTGATGTCTTGAAGTAGCTGAGTGGTGTAGCTATGAAGATAGTTTTGCTATGCTCCAGAGCCTATTCGTTAGGACCACCCACGTGTATTTGTCGCCATCCAATTCCCAGAATTGCTATCTGCTAAGAGTGTGACATACGAAAATGATACCAGAATACTAACAACTTCCACCATTTGCTAAAATTCGTCCTCCAAAGCAAATTACAAAAGTATTCGGGACCCTAGATATAATGGAATAGAATATATTCATTCTATACTCCCGTGATTTGTCTTATACTCTAATAACTTCAAAATATATCAACTGATTAAATGCAATTATTCACGTAATTTTAAAAATATTTATTATAAAAATCAATTAATTTATCTTATAAATTATGTTGATCAGGTACCAGTTTCAAGCTGTTACAGTAAACCAATGTAACTTATGAAATGCATATTATTTATAATTGATTTCAACCAAATAGTCTATTGGTTTAGATGAATCTTGATTTGGACAATCTCAATTAATGCGAATGATTTTCTTATATATTAGGTCTTGAATAATTTAATTTATCTAAATTTTAAATTTTTTATTTTTTATATCTCTTTTTATATATTTGGTTATTCAAATTTTATTTTGTCCGTTTAGACTTAAACATGAATAAAATTATTCAAATTTTAAATTATTTAAATATTATAATTTTTTAATACATGATATAAAAAAAATTATAAACTACACCCTCAAATATATTTTTTTTTGTGCATCAACAACAAAAATCAAAGATGTGCAACATATCCATTAATAGAAACTCCAAACCTATTATAATTATTTTACAATACTAAATAAAAAAACATAAAAGTAACAAATTAAAGTCATCATCGTATTCACATCATGCCTCCACTACAAGTGTCAAGCATTAATCATTGAACTACATGTCCATTTGAATAAAATTATTAGGTTAAAATAATACTTTGTGAAGTAAAGTATAACAAACCATAGATTAAAAAAAAATATAACATTCATATTTGACTTAGCATAATAATAGGTAGAAAATTGCTAGCAATCCCAAATTATGCACAACAATGATTAGGACAACCTTTGTAATCTAAGCATAGTGTTTCTGAAAAATATATTATAATAATATTGTTTGGGTTAAAATAGAAAAGTGGAAGTAAATTAACCACAATTCTAAAAAAATTGAAGAAATAAATTAAGTTGTGATAGAATATGTACATTCATAGTTGAGGTGTTGGTGGATATAAAATCTCTTAAGACTACCCCTTTTTGAAAGATAGATTTCAATTCATCTAGACATATCTTTAACAAATATGAATAACTATACAATAATTAATTGTTTTATAGAGATGAATTATTAAGAAGTTATAATTCAATTGTTATGTGAGTAATTGTATAAATAACTTGTAACAATAATATATGAAAATTATTAAAAAAAAATTATAACAAAAAATAGAGTATAAATACAAAGTTTAATGGGATCCAAGAATGTTGTAACAAGGCATGTGTTTGTCATAATATTATTGTTATATATATTTTTGTTTTATTAAGAAATTGCAACTTTTTCTCACTTTCTATGAGTAAGAGGTACCCCTAAGTCCAATTGCATCTTTATCCGTATGTTAGAGATCAAATCCTGTATCTTAATTAAGAAGGATAAGTGTCGAATAACTTGAGTTGATAACTTTTGGTATAATATTATTGTTATATACTATAAAATAAAATAATATATATTGTTGTATATTTTCACACACACCATAAGATAATATGTGTTTACTTTCAGAATAAGTCAATCTAAACTTACTTTATTCAATAATTCATATTTTATATTAAATTTTAATGATTTAATTATTAAATTAAAAAATTTTAATACATAGATAAAGTATGAAAGTTTTAAAAAATTATTCGACACTTCATTTTATTAATTCAAATTGATGGATAATTATAAAAATATTTTATATGTTGATTTAAATTAACGAGATGAAGTATTAAATGGTTTTCAATTTTTATAAAAATTTGTAAACTTAATCTTTGTATTAAGAATTTTAAATTCAATGATTGGATCGTTGAAATTTGATGTAGAATATTAATTATTAAACAGAATAAATGTAGATAAACTTACTTATGAAATAAGCAAATTCCTTCTGATATATATATATATATTCTTAAACATATTATATATATATATATATATATATGAGTTAATCACTTATATACTGTCAGTGTAAAATTTTTTTACACCGATAACCAATTATATTTTTTAATTGTGTCATGTCACTGTTAAAAGTAAATGTGTTTACAGTGACATGACACAATTAAAAGATATAATTGGTTTGCACTGCAATGTATAAGTGATTAACTCTATATATATATAATCGTTTAATTTCAACGATCTAATCGTTTAATTTAAAGTTCTTAATGCATAGATCAAATCTGCAAATTTTTAAAAATTTAAAATTATTTAATACTTCGTTTCATTAATTCGAATCAATGTATAAAATAATTTTATGATTATCCGTCAATTTTGAATTAATGAAATGAAGTATCAAATGATTTTCAAAATTTCTAAAAATTTACAAATTTGATTTATGCATTAAGAACTTTAAATTAAACGGTTTGATCGTTAAAATTTAATATAGAATATGAGTTATTGAACAGAGTAAGTGTAGATAAACTTACTCCTTAAATAAAATGATCCTTCCTTATATATATAAGCTTAACATTATTGCAAAGATATAGCTAACATTGTTGTAAAGCTTTATTGTTTTTCAAACTACTTAGATTTGATTTACAAAATTTAAATAATATGCACAAAATTTAAAATTTTAACGTTGTTTTTGTCATTGTAATTTCTACTTATAACTACGAAAAAAATAAGAGTACAAGAAGCATAAACAACTTAGAGTATGTGTCTTAATGTGTAAGCGGGTGAGGGAGAGAATCGTCTGGTAGATATATATTAGTCTTTTGAATAGTTTGTTTTTTTTAAAAAGAATTATTCTATAATTTTTATCATGCTCATATTTATTTAATATATGTTGTGTTACAATACTCTGTTTAAATTAAATATTTTTTTAGTTAGTTATCTTATTATAAAAGATATTCAACTCTTTTAAGTAATATTTTAAATTTATTCAATTAATGTTTATTATAATAAAAAAATATGAATAATTATCAAATCAGTAAATTAAATGCATATATTTTACAATATAAATAATTATCAAATGAAAGTAAAAAAAATGGAATGAAATTTTATATCAGATCATGTTTGAGCTTGTATGCTTATAAATGATTATTTGAATTTTGAACACAAGTCATTTAATATTAGAAAAAAAAACACGATTTAATGAAATTTTAACCTTCAATTTACTGATCCAAGTCTAGGTTACCACTTTCTGCTAGAAATAAACTTATTTCCTCTTCCCCGAAGCTTTGATTTTTTTCTTTTCAAGGTAAGGGAAGTTAGATTGCGTGCGGATTGGTCGTAAGTGAGTTTAGGAGCTCAAGTGATGCTTGAATTCAGAAGATTAATGGTTGGATTGAAGAGTTTTTCATTTTTGGGGCTTCGGAAAAATTGGGGAAAATGGTGATTTTGATGCGTTGATGGTTGCATGTTGAAATAGAGCTTGTTTTTGAGTTGTATGATGCAAATGTAGTTTATTTTATGGATTGCATGTGTTTAAGCAGGTTGATTTGCAGGTTTTTGTTTGCAATTTTTGAAGTTATGAGGGTTACAATTTGAAATTGCGACGGGCGTAGTTCTTAGTGTCGGGCGTGTGTTCATCGGGGAACTCCATTGTCCAAGCACGCTGGGCGCTAGGTTGGTTGTGTCGGGCGAGGTTGGGAATGGAAGTTTCTGGATGAATCACACTAGGTGTGGGGAGAACTACGCTGAGCGTGATATTAGATAGTGGCTCAAAATTTTGAGTTACTAACATGGCACCGGGCGTGATTCGATCTCGCCGGGCGTCGAGACTCCGTGGGTGTCTCTGCCTAGGGTGGCACCGAGCGTAGAATGAGTGTGTCGGGCGTGAGAGCTTGGTAAGGTTTTTGCCTTATTTGCACGTACTGAGCACGAGTTTGGTACGCCAGGCTTGGGAGACTCCTGGAAGTCTCTGCCTCCTATTGCGTCGGGCGTAATGATGATACGTCGGGCATGTAAGAGCTTTAGAGCTCTCGGGTTGGATTCAGGCCAGGCGCGAGTTTAATTGCGTCAGGCGTGGAAGTATTTTACTCTATGACTTAGAAAATGAATTTTGTATATGATAAGAAGATGTTAAGTTGAATTGTGCTATACGTTGATTATGCTGTTAAAGATGTTAAGTTGAGCTGTGCTGTATGTTGATTTTGTTGTTAAAGATGTGAAGTTGAGTTGTGTTGTATGTTGATTAAGCTGTGTTGATGAGCTGTTGATCACTAGGACTAGGGGAAATGTTTTTGAAGTTGCTCATCCCATTGTGTGGATTGAGAAAACTGTGGTGCTTAGAAAGCCCAATTTATTGAAAACCCTCCTTGGGAAGTTGTCCCTTGGAGTGGATGTTGAGATTTCCGTTGAAACACTTTTGTTAATATTTGTAAATTCGTTTAATTCTATCAACGGTCTCAAACACGGCAAGTATACCGGCCGTTCAAGTAGTAAAAATATCGTATCCACAGGGATTAGAAGGTAATATAAGCATTTATTGACTATTCGTGACTAAAGAATAATTCCAATTTCATAGTTTGTGCAGTGAATTCAAAGTTGTGACTATTGGAATGAAAGCTGTAAATAAATATTGTTTTGTGAGTGGAAAAGGTAAGGAATGGTATTGTGGTATTGTGAGGTTGTGGGGGTCAGATTTCACCAAACGTAACACTAATGTATCCTTAATCTCTTGTTGAATTCATTGCTTA